TGCTGTTTTCAGAGTGGGTATTTTATTTGGAGATAGTCTATGCATAATAAAACCAAGGATATTTTACTTCTCCAGTGGATTTGTATTTACTCTTCCCATGCAAGCCCAGGGACTGCATCAGTGAGTACCAGCCCTGCAAAGGGGCCTTCCAGCTTGGCAGCATGGCCACTTTCACATATCCTTATAAGTGCTAACTCCTTTCTCATCAGCTGCCTTGTGCCCTGAATTCCTGCAAGTTTTTTTTTTTTTAAATATATTTGGTACAGTATATTAAAAATATATATTACGCAGCTCAGACTCATAATGATCCTCTTGTTTTCGGCCTCCCCAGCGCTGGAATTACACCAGGCACCACCCCACCCGGTCTTGGTGGTCAGTTCAGTGCTCCTGGGGGTGAGGCCTGCAGGGCATGTGGTGCTGGGTATCCAACCCTGGTCCCTGCACTTGCCTAAGGGGGCGCTTAGACCACCTAGCTATCTCGCTGGCCCTTCCTGCAAGTTCTGTTGGCCTTCCTACAGAAGCTTGCTGGAAACTTGGGCTGCTTAGAGTGGGATACTTTTCTAGTGCTGGTCCTATGAGGCTAGCTGTGGCTTCAGTGCCAGAGGGTAGGGAGCTAGCTCCTGGTCTGTCCTCTTAAGTGATCTGCTACCTCTTTTTATTACTGTGTTGGCTTTGGCCCAGACCTGTTTTCTGGGACTGGTGGACTGTTGTGTACCACTCAGTGTGCTGTGTACCACCTAGCCATTCTTCAGAGCCAGGCCTGCCAGATTCAGTGGCATATGAAGATCTGGTACCTGCTTCACAGCAGGATCAATGGCAAGGTGTAGCATGGACAGGTTCTTAAGTCCTGGTACTTTATAACCATGTAAAAATTCTTTTCTTCCAGCAGCCACTAAATCTGTTGACTACACCAAAAAAGAACTTTATGATTTTGCACATTATTATATGTGAAACTGATATGATCATCTATCAGTGAGGCTGGAGGTGTGCGCTTTCTTGTCAGATCCACCCTACACTTTCTGCTTACTAGGGCATGGTTTCAGCATGGGTTAAGACAGTAAGGTCCTTCTCCCCTTTGGCCCCTAAAGGCAGCCCAGTCATCCTATACTGTCAGGGTTGGCCACTTTAAGTCTAAAGATGTAGACTCTAGCAATAATGAGCCATAAGCATCAAGAGCAGTCTTTAGTATCTAGTGTATAGGGAGCTCTCCACAGTCTGTTATTTGGCTTCATAAGTTTTGTTTTGAGACAGTCTCACTGTGTAGTTCAGGCTGGCCTTGAACTCACAGTGATCCTCTTGCCTCAGTCTCTGGAGTGCTAGGATTACAGGTGTGTCCCCAACTTTCACCCTCCCATAAAATTCCAAATTCAGGCCTTTGACTGGGTTGTCCTTTTACCTAGTTTCTTTACCAAGTTCAGTTCAGCTGATTTTAGGTCTTTCCTAGTATTGTCCATTGACCCAGGCTGGTAAGTGTCCTGTAGCCCAAACCACAGGCTTTTCTATCAGTATCCATCTGCTATAGCTGTGCTTTTTTATTTTTTAATGATGTTAGGGATGAAAGCCAGGGTCCAAGCCCTCTATGCTTTACCTCATAAGGAATTTTTGAGATAGGGTCTTCCTGGTCCTGAATTGTATAGCCCAGGCTGCCTTTGAATTTATGATAGTTCTGCTGCATTAGCCTCCCAAGTGCTGGGATTACAGGCATGTGCTACCACACCTGAGGTGTGGTTATAGTTTTGGTTTTGCAGCTGGAGATTGAACCCAGGACCTTTGTGTTGAGCTATATCTAAAATGTATGTTGAGAGAGTCCCACTAAGTGGCCCAAGTTAGACTGCAGCTGGTGATCCTCCTTCCTGTGTGCTGGGATTACAGTTGTGTGCTACTGGGTGTGGTTCCCATGAACAGCTTTTTAATTTGCTTGACATTCTTTGCCAGATTTAAACCTCAGGGAAGGGATGTTGCCAGGGAATACAAAACCTGGTCCAGTTACTTGAGGAATGCTTGTGGAATTTCCCCCCCAAGCCTTATGACCTGCAGCATTGGGGCAGTTAAGACTTCTTTGCTTCCATTTTCTACCCTCTAGCTCTGGCCCCATCAGGACTCCTAAGGGATAGAAGAAGTTACTAAGACAAAAGCTGATGTTCCTGTTCACTCTCTTCCCCTTCCCCCAAAGGCTGAAGGGCTAGGGTACTGGGACTTGGTACAGTTGGCAAATTATTGCATCACAAGGATATGTTCAGGGACCATACTCTACAGCTACCTCTCCCTGGGACTGTAAGCACTCGGTATACACTCATCAAACTGAGAATGGAGATGACTTCTGACATTTGTGTACCATCCAGTGTTTGCAGTTCATCCTTGGCAGCCTGGTGGGTCTGCTTCACTGGGCAGAGGCTTATAGCAAGGCCCTTTTACTTCTAGGGTTTCGTTTTTTTTACTTCTAGGGTTTGTTTTGTTGTTTTTTTTTTTTTACTTCTAGGGTTTTGATGGAAATCTTCCTATTGTCCCTTGATAGGCCCATTTCTAGAGGTAGCAGATAAGGTAGTTGGAGACTCCCCTATTCATAGTAATCAGAAGTTTGTGTTCAAGAGCACCTCCTCTGGAGCTCAGGTGAAGCAAGACTGCTCAGTATACCACAGCTCTGTGGTCTGGGCCAGCCGTAGGAGGCTGGGGTGGGCACCAGAGGTGGCCCTGCAGCTGATTCTAACAATTCCCCTTAGCATTAGGAACAAAGTTTTCCAAAGGCAAGTGGAAACTTTCTTGGAAAATAAATGTTTCATTCCTGTTGTTGGGATGTGTCAGATTCTCATCTGGCCCTCACTACAGAAGACCCACAACTTATGGTGGGCTAGCTTCACCTTCTCCCTGGCCAAGGCCCAACTATGTCAGCCATAGTCCACAGAATGGAAAACCAAAGGCCACAGTTTTGTTAAAATAACCCATAGAACAAAGGCCTTGGGTGTAGTTTCATAGAGGGCTTGCAGAGCCAGAATGGGTTTGATCCCTAGCATTATACAAAACAATACAAAGGCCCCCTCAGTGTTAGATGAATGATCTTAGTGCAGGTGCAGTAAGTAGACAGTAGAGGCTTCCATGTGTGAACACTTTGGTTTGCGTCCAAGCTTTCGTCTGTTCCTTGTCAGAACACGACAGCTGCCTAGACACTGAACTATGTCCCTAAGCTCAGCTAAGTTGGCAACTGTCAGTTTGAGGCAGTGGGTACAATAGTGTCTCCTCAGCTAGACTAAGGAACTGAGATAAGCAGCTGAAGGTAACCAGGCTAGTCCCCCTAAGCAGGTCCTGTAAGCTCCTAAGTTCAGTCTATTCTTCAGAAGCAGCTGGGTAAGAGCATTGCAATAGGCAGGTAGGTGAGACACTGAAGACGCATTCCCCTACTTTGTCCAGTCTACTCACGGTAGAAACCCGAGGAGTGCTGACCTGCACTAGAGAATATACTAACAGCCCCAAATGTGGTGAGTCACCGAGGGGCCACTGGGATGCCTGTGTATTGTTTAGGAGTAGAGATGGTAGTGGCCCTGGCACCTGTGTGGTTCTGGGAATGGTTTTGATAAAAGCAGTTAAAGTAGACATAGTGGAACTCTTTATTCAAGTTCACTTCCCATATGAGGGACTTCAAAATTCTACATAATAATAGTCATTAGATAAAAGGCATACCTTAATGGGGGGGGGGTCCTCTTCCCAATGCTGGTCCCAAAGATAGCTTTTGAGAGCTACAGTACAAGAGTTCATAGAACAAAAATGCAATTTCTCACCCTTCAGTGACAAGATGGAAAGCTGCCAGCAAAGTTTTAAAGGCTACTCTAACACTCAAATTATGTTAATATAAAAGCAGAAATTTCCTTCCTACTGCAGAAAATTGGATTCTGATGTGCCTGCAGCCCAGAGGCACAGCAGGCCATGCTTCCAAAGATCACATTTGTTTCTGGACGTGGGCACTTCCTACCCACTAGCCCTGTGTGTCTCTTGCATTAGCCATTGTATGGCACCAACGCATCCTGGGCAGATGTCACATGAAACAAAGGCACAGAATTTCATCGCAGAAAGTAAACTGAATGGGATCGTACCTTTCAGAAACTACTGGTGGCTATTCATTATTCCAAGGCCCCTGACAAACAAAAGGCTCTTTTTGCCTACACTAATAAGTGTCAACATAGAGATGGCCTTAAAAAGTGGCAGATCACTGCACAGAATCATGGAATGTGTTCTGGAGAATCCTGTAAGTTCAGTCCAACTTTGTTTTTGTTGAGGAGTGAATGATCCAGGATCCCAAAGCCACCCAGTTTCCTGCCCTTTGGATTCATATCCTTTTTTTTTTTTCTTTTTTTTTGGTGGAGTACTGGAGAATAAACCTAGGGCCCTTACTTTTATTTATTTAAATTTTTAGTTTTGGGGACTGGGAAGATAGCTTGGTGGTCTAAGCACCTGCCTGGCAAGCACAAGGATCCAGGTTTGATCCCTGGTACTTCATGCTATGCCGCTGTGTCAGCCACCGAAACCAGGTATGGTGATACACACCTGTAATTTCTGTGCTGGGAAGGCTGAGGCGGGGGATCACCACGAGTCCAGGGTGCATAGTGAGATGCTGTACTAAAGAAATAAAAGTTTTTCTTTTTTTTTTAGGGGCCGGGGAGATAGCTCAGTAGAATAAGTAAGTGCTTCCCTGGGACCTGAGTTAATCCCCGGTTCTGGGGGGGAAAAAAAAAATTTTTTTTTAATTTAGTTTTGGTTGATACAAAGTCTTGTGATAGCTGGCCCTGAACGTATTATGTAGCCCAGACTGGCCTTGAACTTGCTGCAGTATTCAAGCTTCAGCCTCAAGTGCTGGGATTACAAATGTGCAACCATGTCTGGCACCCTTTTTAAAATTGTTGGGCAGGATCTCACTAAATAGCCCAGGCTGGCTTTAAATTCTCATCTTGCCTCGACCTCCCCAGTTGTTGGCATTACAGGTGTGGGCCACCATGATCAGCTCATGCTGATTTTTTATTGGATTTACATAACAGAAATTATCTTCCAAAGACATTTGTTTAGCTACCTAGAAGACCGTTTGTTTCTAACATTTGGGGCAAAGCAGTAGAGTTTAACGTTTATGTGAATCAATATAAAGTATTAATTACAATCTCAAAGGCTCCCTGGGGGCACTACAGCTTTGAATCCATTGACATCTTTAAGTTACCAGAATATTATTTGTGATTCTAGCTATTTGCCTCAAAGTTCCATATTTTCTCTAACAATCACCTGGTGTTTTGATTACAGCACCTAGAAATAGAATGTAGAACTTTGGCCTGTTTCTTTGATAAATACATACATATATAAATAAATAAATAAAACAGTTCTGAGTCTAACTCCCAGCTCTAGTTAAGTCTTATTCCCAGAAACCTGGGCTCCTTCCTTTCCCAGATTTATGTAAACATGGGCATTGGCACAGTTAGTACAAGAACAGCAGCTTGTCTCCAGATTAGGGACATGGACACACACACACACACACACACACATGCACACGCACACATTTTGGTAGATGAACTGCACTTACTCTGTAGTCAAAAGAGGTGGTCAGGCCAGGCTTTAAAAGCTGGGAAGTGTTTGGTAAGATCCTTGCTAGAGTCTCCAGGTTCACTCTAGCACTGTATCTCTGTGACTGGTAGTTAGAAAAAAATATGGAAACCACCTCCATTTAAAAATGATGGCCTTGGAGCCAAAGAGGCAGAGACTAAAAAAGGCCACAAGCCAGTTAGGCAGAGCAGGGACTAGGGGACAACACAGGACTGGCAGCAAGGGCTCATTGCATACTAAGAACCTGCCCATATGGAAAGGGCATAACATCAAGAGTAGACCAGGAGACCTGAAGACCCAGAAGTACTTGTGACCTTTCTGTCAGTTCCTCAGTCACTGAGACCTGCAGGGAGGGAAACACTGAGCCCACTGAGCGTGTCACTGTGCAGGGAAGGGAAGGGAAGGGAAAGCTGGAGCCACACTCCAGCCAGAAGGAGCTACACTACCCTCTCCCATCCTCTGCCTGCCCACCTCCATGCTGCAGCCCTCCAGGGCCACCTCACTAGGAAGGCTTCTGTTTGGTTCTCAGCCCTGCTCTGGAGAGGGCAGGGAGGGAAGAAGGGAAGTGCTACCAAGTGGTTCCTGCCCTGGGCTCAGGCTGGAAATGAAGCAGAAGGCAGTGGAACTGTGGCCACTTGGGCTAGGCAGTGAGCAGGCATCCCTGCCTAGGAGAGAAGCTCCAAGAGTAGTTTCCAGATGTGCACGGTGCCAGCGTCTTCAAAGTCGGGTCCTACAGGGGCAATGCTGGCTGCCAAGAAGAAAATCTCCCGCTGGCTGTCAACAGCCTCCAGACCCAGCTCCTGCTCCAGCTCCACCACACTCAGGGCCTCGTTCAGGTCCTGGGGAGAACACAAGAGTCAGTGGAAACAGCTGCATGTTTCTGACACACTGCCACCCTTACCATCTATGCAGCCCCTTCTAGACCCCCTGGAAAACACCAGTGCTCGCTCCAACCCCTTTGTACCAACCACTTTTTGTTGTATCATCAGCTACTGTGGTGAGAAACAGCATGGTGACAGGTACCCACTCCTAGTCTCTGACTTTGATATCCACACTTAGGAAACTGGTTCAGGAAGATGAAGTACTTTAGTTTAGATAACAGTGATGAGTTGTAGAGCCAGATTCCAAACTCAGATTGATTTAATCACCAAGCTTTGAATCTTATAGAAGAAGTTCATGCTCAGGGGCTGGTGAGATGGCTCAGTGGTCTAAAGCACCTACTTACAACAAGCTTAGCAAAGCACAGGGACCACGGTTGGATCCCCCAGCACCACATGCCAGCCAGCCCCGCCCTCTGGTGGGCTGAGCTGGCCACACACGCGCGCGCGCACACACACACACGCATAAATAAATAAAATTAAAAAAAAAAAAAAGTTCATGCTCAGTTTCCTAAACTCAACAATGGAGAGGTCATATACAACACCTTAGAAACTAATAAGCTACTATATGGCATGGCTGGTGATGGAGCATTTTTTTTATTTAAAAAAAAATTTTTTTTTAATGTATTTAGTACAGGGTGTCACTACGTTGATTGGACTCGTAGTGAATCTCCTATTTTCAGCCTCCCAAGTGCTGGGATTATAGATGCCCAGTCTCAGTCGCTGTCTCAGTGCACCCTGGGGCTGGGGCCACATGACACGCCAGGGAGAAGCATTTTACTTTTAACCCTGGCTCAAGATTAAAATCCTTACACAATTCATAGAATTGTGGAACTTTAGGTCTCCTATATGTTCAAAGATGCCATAAAGAAATAAAGCAAAGGGGCCGGGGAGATAGCTCACTTGAATAAGCGCTTACCTGGCAAGCACAAGGGCCTGAGTTAAATCCCCGGCTCCACAAAAAAAAAAGAAATAAAGCAAGGTGTGGTACACACCTGTGATCCCAGTACTCAGACTCAGGAGACTGAGGCAGGAAGATCTCCAAAGTTTCAGGGCAACCTGGGTTACACAATGAGTTCAAGGCAAGCCTGAAAGTGAGATTCTGCTTTAAAAATTAAAAAAAAAGAAAAAAAACAAATAGAATTCACAGTAGCTGAAATGGGAGGAATGTGAGCTCAAGTCCAACTCTGAGAATATAGCAAGACTATATTTTTAAAATTTTTTTTAAAAACTTCTATATATTGGGGGGCTGGAGAGATGGCTCAGTGGTCTAAAGCACCTACTTGGAACAAGCTTGGCAAAGCACAGGGACCATGGTTCGATCCCCCAGCACCACATGCCAGCCAGTCCTGACCCCTGGTGGGCTGAGCTGGCCACACACACACACACACACACACACACACACACACACACAAAAAATAAATAAAAATTTTTAAAAAACCAAATTAAAAAAAAAAAAAAACTTCTATAAATTGGGTGTTATCTCTATAAGTACAAAACTGCTGTGAACTAGTTTATAAATAGGATCCATCTGACTCATTGTCCAAATAAAGGTCTCTTGAGGTTCAAAGAGGGCAGTATTAATAGTTGCACTGGAACAACAGGCATATATGGGCACTGTCCCAGGTAGCCTAGGACATATGGTAATCATATTTATAAATAACAGTCAAGTGTCTCCTGATAGGCAGGGGGAATCTAAGGTCAAAGACACAGCTTCTCTCCAAGCCAAGCTGTGAAAATGTTCTGCAGTTCTCAGAGACACATGCACTCCGCCACGGGGAAGCCAACAGATACAGCTCAGTGGCACAAGTGTCTGCCTGGAAAACACAAGGTCCTGAGTTTGATTCCTGGTACTGAAACAAAGAAAAACAACAACAGTACTGTGGTGCTTGTCCCATGTTGAGAAGTCAGCACTTAAGGTCTCCAAAGCTGAAAGCTGCTGGGCCAGTGGAGCCCAGGGATACAGGGCAATGGCTAAGAACTTCAGGGGTTGGAGATGTAGCTCTGTGGTAGAGCTCTTACATAAAGGTGCTGGGTTAAATCTCCAGTCCTGCTTAAAACAAATAAATGGCAGTAGCATGGAGAATATCTGAGTTTGAGACTTGGCTATTCCAAAGTTACAATTTCAGCATTTAAAGATAACAGTTTTTATTTTGTGTTTTACTGAGGATTGAATTCTGGACCTTCACACAGAGTTATATCCCCAACTTTTTAAATTTTAGGTTATATAGGCTCTCACTAAATCACTAAGTTGCCTAAGTGGGGCTCAAACTTGGGATCCTCTTACCTCAGCCTCCCAGCGTGCTGGGATTACAGGCCTGTACCACCATGCTGACATGGTTTTGGAATCAGACACCAAAATTCTACTATTCCTGAGATGTACCATCTTGGGTAGATCCCAAGCCTCCCTGAACTTCAGTTTCCACACTGTAAAACAGGAACTGCACCCCACCTCTTATAGGGTCAAAAGTCCAATAAGGACAGCACATCGAAACTATACCTGGTACATATTATTTCTTTCACTTCTTAAGGATGAGAAAGAGAAGCAAAGAACAACTAAGACAGAGGATGGGATGAGAAAGAAGCAGAAGTAGAAGTGGGGCGCTGGTGAGATGGCTCAGTGGTCTAAAGCACCTACTTAAAACAAGCTTAGCAAAGCACAGGGACCGCAGTTTGATCCCCCAGCACCACATGCCAGCCAGCCCCATCCCCTGGTGGGCTGAGCTGGCCACACACACACACAAATAACAAATAAATAAAATAAATAAATAGTCTTCTAAAACTGTGTGATAATAAATTTCTTTAAAAAAAAAAAAAAAAAAGAAGTAGAAGTGGGGCCAGTGTCTTCGCCAAGCTACCCAGGGATGGGCCCCAAATCCTCTGCAATGTTCCCTACCCTCACCAGGAATTTGCTGGTGTAAATCCCAACCAAGGGCTTTAGCTAGCCTCCCAAGACATCACCTGAGGGGCTGGAGAGATGGCCCAGTAGAATAAGCACTTGCCTGGCAAGCACAGGGCCTGAGTTCAATCCCTGGTTCCACCAAAAAGGAAAAAAAAAAAAAAAGCAACAACCAAGACCTCACCTGCTTGTTGGCCACCACGACGACAGGCAGGTCAGGGTCCTTGTCTAGCAGCCTGTGCAGTTCCTGTCGGGCCCAAGGCAGCCGGAGCCGGTCAGCTGCATCCACCATGAACACTAGTACATCCACCTCATTCACAAACTCCTTCCAGTAGAAGCGCAGGTTCTGACTGCCACCAACTGAGGAGAGGTCAGTGACCAATTCAGAGCATCCCTGAGCCTGGTTCTTTATCTTTACCCTCAACCCACCTACTTCCAAGCTTCCCAAAGCTGCAGCAGCCAGGGACGAAGGTCCTAAGCCAGTAAGACTGGAGTCAGTCAGACCTGAGTTTAGGTTTAGGTGTTGGCCTGGTTTCTTAGGGCAAGATGCTACCTTCATGTATCACTGAACTCACCCAAAGGTACCACATGCAACACATCCTTCCTTCATAGAACGGTATATAGGTGCTCTAGAAGTTTTCCTGTGCTGCCTTGCCCCTTGCCAATTCTTAGCTTCTTCCCAGGTCAGTGATGGCTGTGATCAATAGCCAGGAGTCTCAGTGCCTTGAAAAGTCAAGACCACCAGCCTTGCCTGTGCAAAGCTACTATCCAGTCAGTTTTCTCAACCCACTCCCCTCCCTTGGAAATGCCAGACTCAATCTACGAGGTGTTTTGCTCTTCCTACTCTCTATAGTCTCCATTGATAAACTGCATGTTAGTATCACTTGTGTGAATGCTAAACTCTTAAATCAGACACACTTACCTCTGGATCCCCCTAAAGCCTCAGCACAATGCCTGGCACATAGCAGGCACTCATCAAGTATTTACTGAGTGCTTACTAGGTGCCAAGCACTGATCTAGGTGCTGGGGATACAGAGGCGATCAGGCAAGCAGCCCTGCTCTTAAGGAGCTCCTTCCCTAACCAGTGGACTTGCAATAACACACATTCCAGAATGGAAAGAAATAAAGCAGAAAAAAGGAAAGTGGCTGAAGGTGGGGGTTGGCTTTGTGTTGAGTGGTCAGAGAAGTTTTGTCAAAAAAGGTAGATGTGAGATGATGTGGGACAATAAGAAGCTAGCCATGGGTAGAGGCGGAGAAAAGCTTCAAAGGCAGAGGGGAAAAGCTCAGTGTGCTTGAGAAACAGAAAACCAGGGTAGGCCACTTAGGATCAGTTAGGGCCACAGTAACCTCAGAGGCAAGAGTGACATGATCTGATGTGAGGTTTTGAGAAATTACTCTGGCTGCCCCTATGAACAGAAGCAGAAGCAGCAAGACCAGTAAGGAGGCAGCTGTAGTGCTGACAGGAGAGAAGATAGCAGCAACAGAGGAGATAGGAGGTAGACAGTCTCTGAGGAGTCAGCTGAAAGCAGCAGCTAATAAACTAGATACTGGAGATGGGGGAAGGGAAGAACCATCAAAGTGTTAAACTCACTCAGTTACCAATTATCCTCAAAGGGCCCACTCTGTTCTGCCCCTGACCAGGCAATGCAAGCACAGTGAAGGGTTTGTTTTTTGACCCTATGGGTTGAATAGGAGATCTAGGTCTATATCCGGTGAGTTTAGACTGTCTCCTGTCAGACCCTCAGGTAACATGAAAACCACCACCACCTTCTGCCAGGGATAGCTAGGGAAGAAAGGTTATTATATCTAACAAGGTAGGGGCCAGGGAGATGGCTCAGTAGAATAAGCACTTGCCTGGCAAGCGCAAGGGCCTGAGTTCAATCCCTGGTTCTGCAAAAAAAACAAAACAAACCAAAAAAACCATCTAACAAGGTGTCTAGGCAAAAGCCTGACCCTGACCTGTGTCCTTGGCACAAGAGAAGGAGCCGCCTGAGAAACACTGGTGTAAGGACGAGAATCCTAGGTGCATATTAGTGTTCGATACAATCAAGGATAAAAGATGAGGCCACAGCAGGCCAATGGACAAGCAACTGGGGCCAGAGGAACTACTCTTGCTCAGGCCAACAGTCAGGGCCTCAAAGTTTGATGCCTAACCCTTAGTTAAACCAACACAGCCCTTTATGGTCTGAGTCCTGTAGCATCCTGTGGCAGGCAGGAAGTCTACTTGTCCCTCTCAGTGAGAGTGAGGCCAGTCATGGGTGACTGCCCTTTCAACAGCCTCTTTGCCATCCTTTTCCAAAATAACCACAAAGGGGGCTGGGGAGATAGCTCAGAGGCCTAAGTGCCCGCTGGGTAAGAGCAAGGTCCTGAATTCAATCCCCAGTTCCAAAAATAATAAACAAAATACCACACAGTCTAGGACTGAGGGCTAGGGGCTCCTTAGGATTCTTTCTCATCCCTAGGTCTAGAAGCCTTCAAGATACATACTGGGATATCATGTTTAAACTAAAGCCTGAAGGATAAGTAGCAGTTTATTAGGGAATAAGGCTTTCTAGACTGAGGGAACAGTGCATACAAAGGTCAGGCGATAGGAGATCAGAAGTCACCCTTCAGAAACAAGCACTGTAATGTTACTCAACAGTGAAGGCCAGCAGCCAACATTCTGCATCAGGGCACTGGAAAGCTGGTTGACCTTGGATAAATGATCTAACTTGTTGAGCTTCAGTTTCTTCATATGTATCATCGAGCTGCGGGGCGGATTTTATTATGTAATACCTGTCAAGTGCGTGGAATAGGAACCATTAGCTGTTAGGATCTCAGGCATGTGTCAGTAATGCTGAATGGCAGGCAACTAGTAAGCTAGAAATTTTCGATCAGTAAAGGCCCAAATACCAGAATTACTGAGCTTGTGCTGTACCTAGTGTCCCAGGGAGGGGTGAGAAAAAGTTCATATAGGATACAGTGCTGCTTAGATATGCATTTTGGATGGAGTCCCGCCCTTTCCCCCCACCCCCACCCCAAGAATCGAGGCCCTGGACCAACAGTGGCGAAGGGGAGGTGGGATGGGGTTTGTCTCTCTGCTCACTCTCTAGAATGTCCACCTCGAAGTCTTTGGTGGGCAGTCGCACGGAGTTGAAGCCCCAGGTGGGGACGTGGCCTTCCAGCGGTGTCTTCCCCGACAGCACGCGCAAGAACGTGCTCTTCCCAGAGCCATCCAGCCCCAGCACCAGCACCTCGCGCTGCTCCAACTCCTCCAGAGCCGGTTCCTCGGCTTCCTCGTCCTCGGGCTGCGGGACAGAGGTCAGGCTGCGGCCGGCGACTTCCCACTTTACCCTTACCACATCCCGCCCTCCTCTGTCCAGGGACTGGCAGGAATGGTCTGAAGAAGTGGGTCCAGCGCTGCCTTCGGAGTTGTGAACTGCAGCCCCGGTTTTCCGCGAGTGTTCTCGGGCGCATCCCGTACTCTCGCGGGCTGTAATTACCGCTTCCCGGGGTTGCAGGCACAACTGAACCGCCGGAAAGTCGCTGCGGTCGGAGGGCTTCTCCCAGCATCCCCCAGGGCCGGGCCAAAACGTGCACTGCGCAGGCGCCGCGCGGACCCGCCCGACTCCTGGAGCCTAGCAGCCCTGGCCGGCCGCGTCCCCCCGGCTGCGGCGCGCACAGGAAAGCGCTGGCTCCGCGGCGTCGCAGCCAACTTCCATCACCCGCTCCAAGTTTCTTTGCCTCCCAGACTGCGCGCCGCGTGCCGGGCGCTCTTGGGGCAGGACCGCAGCCACACCCCTCATCACCCGCGCGGAGGCGCACCCTCGGCCTCTCCCGACCCCCGTGCAGCACTCACGTCCCACTGGACCCACGGAGGGAGGCGGGCGGGCTCCAAGCTCCACCAGGCCTCGCCGCGGTCCCAGCGCCGCTCGCGTCCACGGCCGAAGTAGGCTTTCCAGAGAATGAAGAGCACCGAGCCGAGCACGGCTGCGGCGCCGCCCAGCGCCAGCACCAAGGGGCCCAGCGGCCGCGGCGCCATCCGGCCGGGCGAGGGGCGCCGGTGCGCGCTGAGCAGGCGGAGCCCGCCCTCCCGGCGAAAATGGCCCCGCTGTGGCTGCGGCGGCCGCGCCCACCCACCCTATCCCAGCCCCGCACTACAAGCCCCACAATGCACCGCCTGTCAGGCTACAGGTCGCCTGCCGGGGACTGGGGGTGGGGGGCGGGGGTCGCTGCAGGCCCGTCGGCACCTCTCTCCCGCTGCCAGCAGGTGCCATGCAGAGCGAAGCTCTTCCTGCAGAACGGAGCGCAAGGCAGTATTTGCTCACAACTGTTGAGCGCTTGCTGGGAGCCGTGGAGTTAACTGATGGCTTTCTCAGTTACCTCTTATGGTACCTCCCACAGGGAAATTGAGACCCAGGAGATAATTTGTTCAAGTACGCACCGCACCGTAGCACTTCGGTGCAGCTTGCATTCAAACCCAAGCGATCTATATTCCAAGTATCCCTCAAAGACTCAGGGGAAGAAATTGAAACCATTTCGCCCGGTATCACCCGCATAGGGAGTGGCAGAGACAGGACAAGAGCTTGACACCTTGACCCTCAGTGCCTCAGCTCTCCTTTGACTGCCTCAGAACGCCGAAGGGTTCTGCTATACTAGTGCTCTGGGCTAGTTAAAGAAGTAAGCAGGGCCAGAAGTCAGGATGTTTAGACTGACCTCCTCCTGATTGCCGCGGCTTCCAGATACAGGAGAGAAGGAAAGGGAGAACCATCAGACCTTTGGCCCTTAAGGGAGAGACTGCGGAGTGCTGTGGGGCAGGAGGTGAAGCAATTCTGAGGCCAGTGGGGAAAGTGTCTCACTCCCGATAGTGTCACTGCTCTTGGCTCTGTGTAGTTCCCAAGTTTCCCTGTACCCCTGGCTCTGTGTCCGAGCTGCTGTTAGTTCTGACTTGACTGCCCTTATCTTTGGCAGTGTGTGTATACTACTGTTATTCTATCTTGACTTTTTATTTATTTATTTTGGTAGAACCAGGGCTTGAACTCAGGCTCTTGTGCTTTCCAGGCAAGCACTTATTCTACTGAGCTATCTCTCCAGCCTCCTTATCTTGACTTTTAACCTACAATGCATTTCTATCAATATTGATTTTTTTAAAAATATATTTGGTACAGGGGCAGCTCGGACAGCTCAGCCTCATAGTGATCCTCCTGTTTTCAGCCTCCTAAGCGCTGGGATTACAGTTGTGTGCCACCGCACCTGCACTTGGTGGCCGGCTCAGCATGCCCAAGGGCAGCCCCAGCACAGCATGTAGTGCACAGGATTGAACCTGGTTCCTGCTCTTGCCTAAACAAGCGTTTAGTCCACTGAGCTATCTCACTGGCCTTAATATTGATTCTTTTTTAAAGTATTTGTTTTCATTTAACACTTTAGGTTGAGGCGATTTGTATACTTTATTAAGAGATACCTGGAGGTCTTAAACAATAGTTGCTCTTCCCAAGTTGAGAATGAATTGAGAAGTTGCAGAAGATAGCCAAGTGGAGAGGAAAATGTCATCTGATGGTGCCACATAGCCAGGACCTCCCCAGCGAGCTTGGAGCGTCCTGAGTGGCTAGCCTGAGCGTGGCAACGGTACAGCTTCTCCTGACCTCTCAGCCATGTAACTAACTCCTCTGGGGAAGAGTGAGGGTTGGGAGAAAGTGATGTCAGGGGATGACTCCAGTGCTATTTCAAACTGTGGTTCAGGACCATCTGTGAATTGTAAAAATCAATTTACTAGATAGCAATTGTAACATTAAAATTAGAAAATAAAATAGTAAAGTGAAAATTAGAAGTGTTTTGTGAAGTGTGTGTGTGTGTATCCACCCAGACTCCATATAAAAAATGTTAAGCCAGATGTGATGACACATGTCAAGTAGTCCCTGCTACCATGGCATCGTAGTGAAACCCCATCTCAAATATCATGAGCAAAATATTTTTTACTGTGGAGTATAGTAATAGTTTCAAAGTTTGTGTTCTAATATAACTACCTCCATGAGGAAACTGGAATCAGGGAGATGTGCAGCCTCTTCCTTGCGCCTCCAGATACTGGACAGTCCTGCTTGAAACTTGCTTCCACCACCTGAGTGCCTGGGAAGATTCTAACACCAGTTTCAAAATCTAGCCAGGGCACTAGCTCAGGCCTTGAAGGATCACTTCATTGACAAGATGAGAACAAGGCTTCCAAAGAAAGTTCAGCACCAGTGAATTTATTCATAACTTTACCCTCAAGAATGTAAATAATAGGGGCTGGTGAGATGGCTCGGTGGTCTAAAGCACCTTCTTAGAACAAGCTCAGCAAAGCACAGGACCCGCGGTTCAATCCCCCAGCACCACATGCCAGCCTGCCCCGCCCCCTGGTGGGCTGAGCTGCCCCCCCCACACAAATAAAATTAAAAAAAAAAAAGAATGTAAATAATAGAGACAAAAAATTCACAGGGCTTTACTCTTGGCATCATGAAAGGTGGGTGTGGTAGCACATTTCTGTAATCCCAGATACTTGGGAAGCTGAGATATGAGACTCCAGAGTTTGAATACTGCCTAGGCAACATAGGCTGCAGAGGACTGGTTGGTGGAGGAGTACACTGTGCTCACTGTAGACTTTGAAAGAATGAACACAATATGCAAAGATGAAAACCATTACGTTTGAGTCTCTGGTTTCAAATATTCATGAGAGATTCCTTCTCCAAACGTGCTGGAGTTGGGTTCCTCTACTTTCAACTGAACAGGTCCTGATAAAAATCTCCTTACATTAAGAATAGCTTAATTGGGCTGGTGAGATGGCTCAGTGGTCTAAAGCATCTACTTAGAACAAGCTCAGCTAAAGCACAGGGACCACGGTTCGATCCCCAGCACTACATGCCAGCCAGCCCCGGCCCCTGGTGGGCTGAGCTGGCCACACACACACACACACACACACACACACACACACATAAATAAATAAATAAAATTAAAAAAAAAGAATAGCTTAATGAATACGTGCAAATCTATCATCTAAATTCACCAACCACTGGCCAAGTGTGGTGGTGCATGCCTGTGATCTCAGCACTTGGGAGGCTGAAACAGGAGGATCATCATGAGTTCAAGGCCAGCCTTGGTTACAAAGTGAGTTCAAGGCCAGCCTGAGCTGCATAGTGAAACTCTGCCTTAAAAAAAAAAAAAAAAAAAAAAAACCTGAAACATTAATCCATCATCTATTAACATTTTGCCTCATTTGACTTACCTACTTTTTCTTCATATATACAATCAACCCTCTCCATCTGCAAGGGGCATTGGTTCCAAAAAATATCCCCTATCCCTGAAGATACCACAATTTTCGAATTCTCAAATCTCATCTATACAATGACATAGTGTTTGCATATGATGTATGTACATCTCCTTGGATACTTTAAGTGGTCTCTACATGATACTTATACAATGTACATACTAGTAAATAGTTGTTACACTGTAATTTTGGAGAATAAGGACATGGTTGCAGTGCTTTTAGTTTTGTATTCTGAGACAGTTTCACCAAATTGCTCAGGCTAACCTCAAAATTTTGGGCTTAAATCCTTATTCATGCCTAAGCCTTCCAAGTAGCTGGGGATATAAGTGTACACTACATGCCAAATTTATTCAGTGACTATGTAAGAACATGTTCTTGTTAGGAGACATAGCATAATAGGCAGAAGTTTTAATGTTGATATAATATTTGAAAGTCTTCAGTTGCCCTACTGATATACTAACCATACAATAAAATGTCCCTTGTACTCTTTTTATTTTATTTTTCTAAATTTGTTTATTTAGTGTGTGTGTATGTGTGTGTGTGTGTGTGTGTGTGTGTGTGTCCAGCTCAGCCCACCAGGGGGCAGGGCTGGCTGGCATGTGGTGCTGGGGAATTGAACCGCGGTCCCTGTGCTTTGCTTAGCTTAGCTTGTTCTAAGTAGGTGCTTTAGACCACTGAGCCATCTCACCAGCCCCCTTTTTATTTTAAAGAGAAAGAAAAACAATAAAAACAATGATATAAAGTTTCAAAACAAGATAATAGCAGATTAACAATCGTTAATATATTGCATATTGTTCTCTTCAAGGTAGTTGTACAGATTACAAGATACAGGCATTAGAGATTAATCAAACAATATAAGAACAAACCATTCTTTTTAATGAGATAATAGAAATCAGTAGTATATTTACCTTAGCTGTCACATATATATGTATTTATATTTATCTCAGCTATCATATATATTTATATATTCTTTTTCCTGACTTCTTTTCTCCTTTCCTTCATCCTAGCTCTTTCCTTTTGAACAGTTTCTTCCCCTTTTGCAACATCTATTGTACATGTTGGGTCTTATTTATTCTTTGAGTTTCTTATGCTAGGGAGACATTATGATGTTGGTACATATGACTCTGATTTATTATACTTATGAGTATGTTCTCAAGTTGCGTCCATTTACTTATGAAAGCCTCAAGTTTATCATTTTTTTTTCCATTTGTGTTTTTGGTACAGGGTCTCACTGTGCAGATTGGACTTGTGGTGACCCTCATATTTTCAGCCTCCCTGACACTAAGATCACAGGTGTGCGCCACCATGCCTCGACTCTATCATTCTTTATAGCTGGCTAGTATATCATCATATAAAAATATATTTTTATCTATTCTTTGGTCAATGGGCATTTGGGTTGTTTCCAATATTTAGCTATTATAAATTGTGCTGCTCGAAACACGGATGAAAAGGGCTGGGGATATAGCTCAGTGGCAGAAGTGCCTGCCTGGCAAGTGCAAGGTCCTGTGTTTGATTCTTGGTTTTAAAAAAATGGGTGCACATATAGGTGCACATATATTGCTGTGGTATGTTTTTTAATTCTTCTAAGAAAATATGCAGAAGGGGAACAGCTGGGTGGAATAAAGACTCTAATACTAGTTTTTAAAAGTAATCTGCACACTGACTTCCATAGTGGTTGCACCAGTCTACGCTCCCACCAACAGTGGAGAAGAGTTCCTTTTTCCCTGGGCTCCTCTAGCATTTGTTATTATAGTTGAGTCCTTGATGGTAGCCATCCTTTCTGCAGTAAGATGGAATCTCAGTGTTGTTTTAATTTGCACTTCTCAAATGAACAATGAGGTTTAGCATTTTTCATATGTTTATTTAACATTTGTATTTCTTTTTATATTTTTATTTTTTAAATAGTTTTTTAAAAATTTTGTGTGTGTGTGTGTGTGTGTGTGTGTGTGTGGCCTGCTCAGCCCACCAGGGGGCGGGGCTGGCTGGCATGTGGTGCTGGGGGATTGAACCGTGGTCCCAGTGCTTTGCTAAGCTTGTTCTAAGTAGGTGCTTTAGACCACTGAGCCATCTCTCCAGCCCCAACACTTGTATTTCTTAATCCAGGAATTACATATTTATCTCAGATGTCCACTTTTGGTTAGGTCTTTGAATTTGTGAGACCTGATTTTTTTTTTCTTTTTTTTTGCGGACCCAGGGATTAAACTCAGGCCCTTGCGCTTGCCAGGTAGGTGCTTATTATATTGAGCCATTTCCCCGGCCCTTTTTCAGTTCTTTTTCTGTTCTAGAGAGAAGTCCGACTGTCTGAGGGGCAGTTGGCTAAAATATTTTCTCACTCTATTTTCTTTTGATATGCACAAACTTTTATGTATTTGGTACACCGTCTTGCTGCACAGCTTGGACTCATAGTGATCCTCCTGTTTTTAACCTCTCCAGTGCTGGGATTATAGGCATGTGCCACCATGCCTGGTCTTGATATCACTATGCCTTCAAGATTTCTACCCACTTTTTCTTCCAGTAGATTTATTTTTTTCTTCAATACTGTATTTAATGAGAAAAATATTTCCTTCTCCTACTGAATAATTCTTATTTATTTATTTATTTATTTTTTAATATTTATTTATTTCTTTATTTTGTGTGTGTGTGTGGCCAGCTCAGCCCACCAGGGGGCGGGGCTGGCTGGCATGTGGTGCTGGGGGATTGAACCGTGGTCCCTGGGCTTTGCTTAGCTTAGCTTGTTCTAAGTAGGTGCTTTAGACCACTGAGCCATCTCACCAGCCCTGAATAATTCTTTAAATTGACAACAGAATATTTATTTTTAAAATGGCTAATTTGTTCCTTCCAGTAGATTTAGTATTTCTGTTTTAATATTTAGATCTTTGATGCATTCTGACTTTAGTTTAAAGC